TAAGCGGATTTAGCGTGTTACATTTTTTTTGATACACCCGCCTGGCTAGTTCTTCCCAAAGATGTTCAATAACATTTAGATCTGGGCTCTGTGCAGGCGTTTGCACAAGTTTTGGGCAGTTATGTATTAACCAAAGCTTTGCAACGCCTGATGTGTGCTTCGGGTCGTTGTCTTGGTAGAACGCAAAGTTTGTCGCGATACCCAATTTGTCTGCACTTTGCTTCACATTCTGCTTCAAAATATCCAAATAACCAAATTTTTTCATAATGCCATCTATAAAATGCAGGCTTCCTACTCCAGCACTGAACATATAGCCCCAAACCATCACAAAACCTCTACCATGCTTCATGTCTTTGCTTTTGTTGATGTCTTGTCTTCGAGCATACACTTAAAACGAGAAGGAACGTGCGAGTCGCTTCTGGGGACGCGACTCTACTTATACCCGTACTCAGTCAGCATAAACATTTTTAAGCATATGATTTTTTAGAATTTTAGAATTAAAAAAAAAATTTTACATTTAACATTTTTTTGCTACATCTGATATCTACATCTACAATGTATATTCTACATCTAACATGTAGATTGTACATGTTCCAATTAGATTCTACATCTCCTCCGCTAGGGGTTGCTCGCGCACTGAACGCGGCAGAGTGTGCGAGCGAGAAGGAAAATGAGTGGAAGCAGGGGGCAGGGGAAGCAACTGAAAATTAATTTCTTCATTCTGGCTATAATTATGATCCGATCTGATTCAGATTCGGCAATCTGGTAGATATGGGCATTCTCTACTATACTGCGTTTTTAGTTTTATCGTATCTTTAAAATTGTGCCTGTCACAGATTTTCGTCCTTTGTGGGGGCGGGGCGAAATTTTGAAATTCACTTGTAGCAGTGTGATATCACATGAGTCTGGAAACCAAATTTGGTTGCCCTAGCTCTTATAGTCTCTGAGATCCAGGCGTCAAACAAGACGGACAGACGGACAGACAGACATGGCTCTATCGACTCGGCTATTGATGCTGATCAAGAATATATATACTTTATGGGGTCGGAAACGTTTCCTTCTCTGCGTTACACACATCCACTTTTACCACAAATCTAATATACCCCTTAACTCTTTTTTGAGTACGGGTATAAATAGTCTGCTAGCTATAGTTCTTCAGTTTAGGATCTATATCATATAGTGGTCAACTTTGTCGAAAATACACAATATTTATAAAATAAATTTCATTCTTTGCGGTCAAATCTCTGCCCAATTCAAATATAGCCTGTGAAGGGGTATACAAAAGTTTTCTTGTTTGCTTTGCTTAACATCAAGCGGGAAAATCAACGTAAAGGCAAACGACGAAAATTAAAAAAACAATTCTTTGAGTCTGAAAGGGAAGAAACGAGCCGAACGTCAAGCGGGAAGCAAGATGACAAAGGAAACGACGAAAATTAAACCATAGATGAAATGTTCGGCATTTAGTTCGGTTTTTGCATGTATGCTTATGAATCCTTCTTCGCAAATGAGAAAAATTACATACATATGCATATATGGAGTGAGAGATTTTTTGGTGATTTTCTTGTCAGAGTTTGGGCCCCTGAGCTTGGGGGCCCCTTAAGCTCAAGGGCCCCGGTGCGGCGCACCGTCTTGCACGTACGTAGCTACGCCACTGGTCTGGAGGTTTTTCCACGGTAAAGGGGTCTTCTTTGATTGTGTCGCGCGCTCCGGCCACAGCTGCTGACAATAGTAACCTAGAAGGTGAAAACAGCAGAGTCACTAAAGAGGCATGAAATCGCTATTCATGGGCATGGGCAGGTAAAAACATGCGAAGTATGCAACATGCACTTCAACTCTTTGGAACGCCTGAAGGTTCACATGACAAAGATTCATTCATCTGCTGAAGACCGCCGGGAATATTTTTGCAAATTGTGCAATAAGAATGGATTAAGTTTCGCTTATCACAGTTTGACAAAAGAGCATCTGAAGAGGGTCAAAATGAATGAATCATTGAATATTAAAAAAAAATAAAAATTAAATAAAATAAACTTTACTTTGTTCCTTCTACTTTAAGGTCTTAAACTCGGATTATAATTCGCTCTACTCTACCATATAATATCCACTACTAATTCCCTTCCTCTTCTTAAATTACTAATACTAACATACCTTTCCTCTAATTAGTACTAGTTCTTGGCTATCTTTGCATGATTAGCTCTTTTAGTTTGTCTAGCTCTAATTGCAGTTAACTTATTTGAATTGCGCGCAATAAAAAAGAGCAATAAAAAATACTGGCAACCAACACTGATATATATATAATAATACAACACTGATATATATATCGTTTGCAAATCAGCCGAATTTGCAGCTTTTTCCCTCAAGAGCAAGGCCTTCTAGGTACTGCTTCGACAGTTTTGGGAGGTAGAGAATTGCATGGAACCCATTGTAAAGTCTACGAAAGAAGAGCTAGATTGTGAGGCTCATTTTGTTCAACATTTCCATCGATTACAAACTGGCGATTATTGTGTTCGGCTGCCAGCTAAATATAACTTGGATCTCTTGGGAGAATCTTATCAATAATCTCAACGTAGATTATTATCTTTTGAGCGGAGGTTAGATCGTCGCCCTGATGTGAAATCTCAGTATGCTGCTTTCATAAACGAGTACCTTGATCTAGGTCATATGTCTTTGGTTCCTGCCGAGTCAATCAGCTGCTGCCGCTACTTTTGCCTATCATTACGTCACAAAAGAAGATAGCTCGACGACCAAGCTGAGGGTCGTTTTCGATGGATCCGAGCAACTTCATCCGGTTATTCCCTGAACGACGTTTTAATGGCCGGTCCTGTAATCCAACCCAAGCTTTTCCATATTCTCAATCGATTTCGGTCATATGCAGTTGCGATAACGGGAGATATTTGCAAGATGTACCGGTGTGTAAGGGTCTCACCCAGGATAGTAACTTGCAGTGTATTCTGTTGAGGAATTCCATGCAAGAGGATTTGCGTGTGTTTAAGCTGGACACCGTTACTTATGGGACGAAGCCTGCCTCATATTTGTCAGTGCGGGCGATGCACCAGCTGGCAATGGATGAGCAGATAGCGTTTCCTGTTGGGGCTGATATTCTTTGCCGGGACTTTTACGTCGATGACTTGATACCTGGAGCCAGCTCTCAGGATGAGGCTATCCACACTCGTGAGTAAACTACTGGAATTTTGTCGAGAGGTCAGTTCCGATTGAGGAAATGGTGTTCGAACGTGCCTGCTGTGCTCGATGGAGTTCCGGAAAAGGACAAGGAAACCTTTTTGAAGTTCGACGATGGCAGCAATTTCACCAAAACTTTAGGACTTGCCTGGGATCCGGTTTCTGATAAGCTTTTATTCTCGTTTTTGCCCCTACTGCCCCTACTTCGCGTCCCTGCAGGCGTTCCATTTTTGTCAACAATAGCTCGGTTCTACGATCCCCTCGGACAAGCTGGATGGATGGTGGATCATTACAAAATCAAAAATCTTTCTCCAGCAGTTGTGTAAAGAGAAGTTGTGCTGGGATGAAAGCTTGCCATCCGCACTCAACACCTCGTGGCATGAAATATGCAGTAGTTTGGCCAATTCGTTATGAATCTCCTCGGCTTGTGCTCATTCCGAACTCTGAGCTAGAAATTCACGGATTTTGCGACGCCAGCATAGAGGCTTATGGTGCCTGCATTTATGTTGTGTCGAAGGGTCAGCGATCCAGCAGTCACTTACTTTGTGCAAAATCTCGTGCTGCTCCATTGAAAACACTAATCATACCAAAGCTGGAGCTTTGTGGAGCGGAATTGCCAGCTAGGACGGGAGGACCTCATATCTGAGGTAGCAGGAATGAGTGTCTTCGTTGGTGTGATTCGGCTGTTGCGCTCTCTTGGATTCGGGACGAGCCGTCCCGATTCAATGTTGCAGTCGCTTCTATTATTGCCACAAAATGTTGATGATGTCATTGAGGTTTTGAAAGAACGATTTGGCGATGCAAATAAATAAAATAAAATAAATAAATAAATTAAGAAATATTCCTGTTTTAAAAGATGACAAGTGTGAAAGATTTATAAATTTAAATGACCAACTTACAAATTTAATTCATACTTTGTTGTCCCTTGAGCAAATTGACCATATTCGAAATCCTATTTTGTTTAATGACATATTGGAAAAACTTCCAGTATCACAACGCATGTCATTTATGCAGCATTATCAAGAAACGGATAAAGACGAACCGCAACTTCTAGTGGATGGATTGGCAAAAAAAGTAAAGCTGCTCAATTATTAGGGTATGGACTGAACAAGCCAAAAGAAACGACACTTACTATATCGGATGATAAATGGCCACATAAACAAATAAATATTGTAATTTTTGTAAGCTGAATGTGTCATCATGTGACAAATTTAAAAGCCTAGACGTTGACAAACGCTGGGAGCACGTCTCAAAAAATCATTTGTGTATTGCATGTTTATGTAAGAATCATGCAATGAAAAATTGTAAGTGCAAAAAGATTTGTAGTATTAATAAGTGTACATACAGCCATAATACATTATTACATAAAGATAAGCCACCAAACTTGGCAGGTCAAAATCTAATTTTACCAGAGATTCAAGATCCCCAAATTGATACCCAAAGAAATTGTAATATAAACTTGAATCAGACTAACGTATGGACCAATAATGAGACTTACGAGCAGGAAGATTCGCGAATTGTTAGTATGCGTATAAAAGGAAAGGGCAATAGCTCAAAAACATTTACTTTACGTAAAGTAAAAACTTGTAATATGTGACGCTTGTCTTGCGGTGTCTCATTCAGCACTTTTAAAAAGTCAACGGTTTATTTCTCATAACCGCCCTAAGATAGACCGTTGAAAATATGGGGCATCGATCGTAGAGCTTGCAGAGAGCTTTTTGACGAAACATATGTTTTGGTAAAAAGTGGCAACGCCATCCCGTTGTTTTGATTCCGTATTGCAATTATATTTATTGCTAATTACTTTTCTTTAAAGTAAAAAGCAAGGAAAAAATACGGTATTGATGGGAAAACGTGGGCTGCTGCATCCGGTGGTTCTAGGAGTCGGTCTCCTTCTCCTCGTGACCGTCGCAGAGTGCAGTATTCTGGAGCTCTGTATTCTATCTGATTTTTAACCATATATACAGTCAGCTACCACGCGCAGTGATTTTGTGTTCGCAATTATAAGTTGGTTTCCATCAACCTCCACAATCTGCCCATATCCGTGAGTATGGTGAATTAAGAAAACGACGACGTGCAGTGATCTTACTTTATTGCCTTTTCTCGGAATTTTTGTGCCACAGACCGAGGTGTACATAACCCCAAGACCACGGCAGCACCTACCGTCCCTGCTTTTCGACAGCCCACCGGGAGAAAGAAAATCCACAGTTCGAAATTGTATCAATTGAAGTGGTGCAGTTCCCATTGGGGTAAATATCTTGTCCGCGAAGTTCCAATATATAGTTCTAAAATGTAATCTTCTATATATAGGAATCGCACCACTAGTACAGACGTAGTGATACCTAGTTATGTATGATATAACTCTTGGTATAACCTGATATAACTCTTGGTACAACCTGATATAACCCTTGGTACAACCTGGTATAACTCGCTGGGATACGTGGACTCGCTCCGGAAAATTTTTCGACCGGCAGCGTGCTCGGGTCAGTTGAGGTTATATAACCTCCCCGTCCGACCTACGGGTGTGAGCAACGTGATCCCAAGGATGGACTTCCTCACGCTGTGAGCCGGTATACCATTACCGTCGCAACCAGCTTCGACAGTTGCGTCACTACAAGCAAGCTGCACCTGGCTTTCGCTGCGTGGGAGCATTTTTCGTCGATGCCTCAAGATCATTGACCCCGTGCCTAAGCCGCCGTCGATTGTAGGTTCGCTCTGGCAAACCTAATCTGAAGCCGCCTACCCAACGGATTTATTTTTATGTGTTTTTTCTTCTCTTTCTTATTATATACCGGATAATGAAGTGCTTTTTGATTGGTCCGATTGGTGGTTCAATTTAATTGTGCTGCGGCTAACATGTACGCCCATGAAATCTAACATGTGGACCTAGTCAAAAAGGATTTCCTATACCGGGCTTAAGTTGAATATTTATCAATTAAATGGTTATTAATACAACTAAACTTTACAGTCATGCGTGTCGTTACCCAGCCCTCATCTTATCATTTGATCATCCATTCATTCACCTAATCATCTGCTAATCCAATCATCCAGCCATCTACACAACGAAAGATCTTTCTGCGTGGGAGGAAAACGTACTGTAAGTTTGTACAAATATAATGATTCAGGGAGATATAATGACTAACGTGGTAAACTGACCGGTAACGTAACGTTTGATTTTGATTGCAAACGCACTTTGATATTTTTTTCCTTGCCGTTAAAGTTGAATACTTTTCCAATTATGATTTTGTAATGTTAAATGTTAAATTTAACTTTTGAATATCTATTCATCTACACAACTATATATCGCTCCATTTACTTGAATTACCATTACCTAACCTTATATACATAAGCACATATACCTACATACATAACCTAATCTACATACCATTTACCCACATACCTTATTTCTATTTTTGTATTATATTATTACCTAATTGGATATCATGATTTTTTTTTAAGTTTCGGGAGTTAGGTTATTCTTTAGTATTTAGTGTCCGTCAACTTAATGAATTTTATGAATAAATATTGTTTTAGTATGAAGAAAGAGTAGAGTATTTTCGGAAGGGACCATGTCGCGTTTGTTGATAGATAGGTGATTCCCCGTCGGTCTTGTTGGAGGGATCCTTAAATATGTGGCCCGTAAGGATCATGGTAGGGTGGGCGTGCTCGCACTGTTGCGGCAAGCAGCCAACAAGGCCCCGACTATAGGTGGACCCCTTCTACCTCTGCTGACCTTCTCCCTTTGATCACCCGACTACCTTCTCTTGTTCCCTTTTCCCAACTCGTACGCGAAGTAACTAAATTCTTATATCTCATGAGCCCTAAATTGGAGGTACTTTGTCCTTAAACCCACACCCCGCCGACCAGAGACAAAAGCCGAAGCCAGCGCGTACGTCTCCTCCCGTCTAGGTTACCATCTGCTCATCATATCTATACGTTGTATGCTACAAACTGTATCTGACCTTAACTTGCCAATGCAAACCGAAGTGATAAGCGACATAAGAGAAAATTGGAAGTTCCTAAATGACTTTAAGGACTGTGTATATCAGAATGCAATGCCTAAGATACTTATTGGACAAGACAATTGGTCACTCATAGTCACGCGTAAGATTAAACATGAGTCCTTTAGTGGCCCAGCGATTAGAAAAACACTCTTGGGATGGGTTGTTCACGGCAATGTAAATTTAAATGGTTCGGACAATAATTCAAATTATATGTTACACGTAACTGACTGTTCTCATGAGAAAGACGAAATAGACGATTTAAGTATTTTGCACATTCTTGAGATCCCAATGGAGAATGAAATGACTTTTCCAAAAGATAATCCAATATCTTTGGACGACAAAAAATGCTTGGATATCATTGATAAGACATTGATATCATTGGTAAGAAAAGGAAATAGATTTGAGTGTGGGTTATTTTGGAATAACGAGAATACTGTATTGCCAGAAAGCTACAATAACGCATACAATCGACTAATTCTGTTAGAACGCAAAATAGACAAAAACAAACCATATGGTTGAAAATATCAGGAAGTGATAGAATCGTATATAGACAAAGGATACTTAAAGAAATTAAGTGCAGATGAATCTTCAATTCAAACTCCCTTGACGTACTATTTACCACACTTTGGTGTTGCAAATATCAATAAGCCAAACAAAGTCCGGATTGTCTTTGATGCGGCTGCAAAAAGTCATGGTACTTGCTTAAATGATTATCTTCTGACAGGACCCGACCTTTACAACGAGTTGACAACAGTTTTAATGAATTTAAGACGGTCTAAGATAGCATTTGTTGACGATATTAAGGAAATGTTTTTGCAGATAAAAGTAATACAGGAAGATAAACACGCCCAAAGAATTTTGTGGCAAAGATATGATCGTCTAAAAACCCCTGACACATATGAGATACAAGTACTTTTCTTTGGTGCAAATTGTAGTCCGTGTATTGCCCAACAAACTAAAAACCGAAATGCCCTTGACATTCAAGATCAGTTTCCACAAGCATGTCAGGAAATAGTTTCAGAACACTATATAGACGATTATTTAAGAGGAACTGAAGATATTTTAGGCGCTGTTCAGTTGATAAAAGACGTCTCGCATATCCACAAACAAGCAGGTTTTGAAATGTGTAATTGGAGTTGTAATTCATATGAAGTTTTGGAGCAACTCACGGACATAGACAAACGGAAAACGGAACAAAAAACTAAAAGTCTGACTGAGGAACGCGTATTAGGATTGATATGGGATTATGAGAAGGATTTTTTTAAGTTCAATCTAAAATTTCAATCAATTTATAGCGATATCTTGACTTTAACTAGACGACCGACAAAGCGCGAAATTCTAAAACTCACCATGTCGATCTATGACCCTTTAGGATTTCTTTCTAATATTTTGATAGCAAATAAAATACTTTTACAAGCTATCTGGAAAAGTGGCATAGAGTGGGATGACAAGATAACGACAGAACATTGCTCTTTGTGGGAAAAATTATGCAAAAATATAGTCAGGTTAAGTGAACTAAATATCTCAAGGAAAATGACTTATTTAAATATTGACGAATGTAATGTGCAGCTATACATGTTATGCGATGCCTCGAAATTGGCATATGCTTCGGGTGCATATTTGAGATTTGACGATGGAAAACATATAGACTGTTCACTTGTCTTTGCTAAGTCGAGAGTCGCACCACTTAAGCCAATGTCCATACCAAGACTTGAGTTACAGGGTGCACTTCTTGTCGCACGCATATCCACATTGACAAGACTTATTTGTGGACGGATGCAGCGATAGTGTTGTATTGGCTTAAATCGAGTACCAAACGATTCAAAATCTTTGTTTCACAAAGATTAGGTGAGATTCAAGAATTGACAAACATTGGCGACTGGAGATATGTACCGACAAAGCTCAACCCCGCAGATCAAGTCACAAAGATTCGAGACATAGGCTTTTCATCAACTAGTTCTTGGTTAAAAGGACCCACGTTTTTGAGTAAACAAGCAAATGAATGGCCAAAAGGAAAGTTGGTTAACGAGATTCAGGTTGATGATGATCAGGTGACAGTAGAATATGTACACGTCACTACAAGTATAAATGATGCCAATATTTTGCCAGATCCTGTACGATTTTCCAACTGGATGAGGTATTTGAGAACAACTGCATGGGTCTTACGGTACTTAAATAATTTAAAGCCTTCAAAATACAAGCGGACTAACAGCGAGCTGATTGGGACAGATATTGACAGTGCAGAGTATTTGATTTTTAAAAATGTTCAACGACAGAGCTATGGCAAAGAGATTGACTGTCTCTTAGCCAATAAACCAATAGCAAACACGAGCAAATTAAAAACATTACCAATATTTATCTCAGAGAATGGATTGCTCAGGCTCAAAGGACGTTTGGATAATGTTAGTGAAAGGGAATTTGATTATGATTCAAAAAATCCAATTGTTTTATCCAAAGACAACCAAGTTACGATTCTAATTATTCAATTTTATCATTTGAAAAATTGTCACATCGGTACAGAAACAGTGATAGCTAATCTCCGACAAAGATTGTGGATAACCAGATGTCGAAATACAGTTAAAACGAGAAGGAACGTGTGAGTCGCTTCTGGGGACGCGACTCTACTTATACCCGTACTCAGTCAGTATGTACATTTTTTAGCTTATGATTTTTAAGAATTTTAGAAAAAAAAAAATTATATATTTTAAATTTTTTTGCTACATCTGTTATCTACATATACAATGCATATTTTACATCTAACATGTAGATTATAGATGTACCATTCATATTCTACATATCCTCCGCTAGGGGTTGCTCGCGCACTGAACGCGGCAGATTGTGCGAGCGAGATGGAAATTGAGTTGCGTTGTCGTTGGCTGGAGGAGGGCAGGGGAAGCAACAGAAAATTAATTTCTTCATTCTGGCTATAATTATGATCCGATCTGATTCAGATTTGGCAATCTGGTAGATATGGTCATTTTCTACGATACTGCGTTTTTAGTTTTATCGTATCTTTAAAATTGTGCCTGCCACAGATTTTCGTTTTTTGTGGGGGCGGAAGGAGGCGGGGCGAAATTTTGAAATACACTTGTAGCAGTGTGATATCACATGAGTCTGGAAACCAAATTTGGTTACCCTAACTCTTATAGTCTCTGAGATCCAGGCGCTCAACAAGACGGACGGACGGACGGACGGACGGACAGACAGACATGGCTATATCGACTCGGCTATTGATGCTGATCAAGAATATATATACTTTATGGGGTCGGAAAATTTTCCTTCTCTGCGTTACACACACCCTTTTACCGCAAATCTAATATACCCCTTAACTCTTTTTTGAGTACGGGTATAAAAATAATTCGTAATTGCCAACTTTGTAAAAATAAGACAGCCCTTCCACAGGTGCCAAGAATGGGCCAACTGCCTGCATGTAGAGTGACGCCGATTGAACGACCTTTTTTAAAAATAGGAGTTGATTATTTTGGTCCCATTGAAGTTCTTGTCAATCGCAGCCATGTTAAACGATATGGAGTTATATTTACTTGTATGGCTACTCGTGCAGTTCATCTCGAGATAGCTGAGGACTTATCAAGTAATGCTTTCATGCATGTCTTCCCAACAATTTGCAGGTCGACGCGGTATCCCCGAGGAAATATATTCAGACAATGGTACAAATTTTACCAAAGCGAGCAAAGACATTAACATACTGACATCGCAATGGCCAGCTGATGAACTGATACAGTTTTTTTCCTCAAAAAGATGCAGATGGGTTTTCAACCCTCCATTAAGTCCCCACATGGGAGGAGCTTGGGAGAGACTTATTCAATCTACCAAAAAATATCTTTCTTTTATGTTAAAAGAACGTTATCCCAAAGGGTATGTTTTGAGGACATTATTTTGCGAAATAGAATTTATCATGAATAGTAGACCTCTTTTATATATACCAGCAGATTCAATTGAATCACCCTTGACGCCAAACAATATTTTGATAGGTCCCAATTTCAGGGATTGATTTATGCTAATGCTTCTGACTCTGATATAATATGTTTAAACAACTGGAAAGCGTCGCAACGATTAGCAGACGTATTCTGGCAGAAATGGAAAAAGGATTACAGACAGGATTTTAAGCAACCGAAAATGGTCAAAAGATCAAGACATTATACAAGAAGGGGACATTGTATTACTTATGGATTCTGACTTGCCAAGAAATTGTTGGCCAAAAGGCATAGTGACTAAGATATATCTAATATATCTAATGATGGTCGTATAAGAATTGTAGACATTAAGACAAAAACTGGCATTTATAAGAGATCTGTTGTAAAACTAATTAAGCTTCATGTATACAAATAATTGAAGTATTGCCGATAGCAATACTTGGGAGGAGAATGTTGAAAAAGTTATTATTTTAGTTTAGTCTCACAATCAATATTTTACTTTATATAATGAATATTGTTTAACCGATAGTTTATGGCGATGGGTGTGTATGATCACTTAAGAAAAGAAGAAGAACACGCGGAAGAAAAAGAAATATATATTTAAGTTGGAAAATTGTAAAAGAAATCTGAAATAAACGCGCAAATGCGCAGCGGAATGGACAATCAAAGGAAGTGTGACGGATAGCCAATCCAGCATCTTTCGAGCCGGATAATAAAGTTTGTTGAAAAATGCAGAAGAAGTCCATCGATCTGGCTTCTCCCTTGTGACGCATGTATGAGTACATGTGTGTAAATGGATGATGAAATAATTTGTTCTTCTGCGTAAGACAAAAACAAACGCACTAGACACATCCACATGCAACCATTCAGCTATGTATGTGATGTGCTGAATACACACACATACACATCTATATCCCGCAATAAAGCGTCGACTCATAGGCCGTTTACATTGGGGCTGCGTCATGCTTCTTTGCGTCTTGCCGCAGACGCAGTTTTTTTTACATAGGTTAAGCATAGGGCCCTAGTGGTGGCAAAAAGTTGCGTCAGTTTCTGATTCATGTGCGTCTATTCGGTATATTCGATTAATTTTGCTCATTTTGGCGCTTTTTTGCCTATCAGCGCAACTATCACCACTAATAACAGCAAAAATCAGCTGACCAAAGAAATTAATTGTGCACCCTAAAGTATGTCTGAGGAAGGAAAAGGTAAAAATATGCATATAATATTTAAAACAAATAGTTTAAATCAATTCTGACATTAGATAGGAGATTTTTGTGGACACCTGCGGCCTTATTGACTCTGCTCGACCAATGGGAGGAGAACGGGGTGGGAGTTCGCAAGAACTCTCATATTTATAAGGAAATAGCGGATGTATTAAATGAGTTTGGACCTTCTCATGTTGAGGTGAAGAACAAACTCGAAAATTTGACGAGGAAATACAGGTAAGTTACATGCCTACCATTATTTGCATACATTGTTTCTTGTTTATTTTTTGGTAACCCAATATTTTAGAAGTGAACTGGCCAAGGTGGGACCTTCGGGTGGAAGCCCATCAACATGGGAGCACTTCGAAAGGGTCTCTTTAATCCTGCAAACGTAAAAATCAATCGTTGTGAGCGGAGTTGAGAGCGCAGGTAATATATTTAATACAAATTATTTAAATTAATTACACTAGTCAACACTAGAATTAGGCTGTGGAGATTTTAAAAATTCTTTACATTCTTTGCAGACTTTTCATGTGTAACCGAGGATGTTACAGCCGATTTCAATGCTGACCAGAGCAGCACCTCAGCGACCGAAAATTCAGGAGATACCTCTGGTTCCCAACCAAAACGTCGTCGAGTCGACACAATCGTCGAAAAACTGCTGGAGGTAGAGGAGAAAAAGCTGGAGGTGATGCAGACAATTGCTGAAAACTCGGCTAATTTTCACAAAAAAATTATTGAGCTGTTTGAAAAATGGCAATAATATTTTAATAAAACAAAATATATTTAGTTAAATGGTTAAAACTGTTTATTTATAAAGGGTTGTTTCTAAGAAGTGGTGTGAAAGAGCGCTCCTTATAGCTTCAGCCCGAATGTTCGAGTTTCCCAGCCAAACTTCATGCTGAGGTTGTTCTTGGACTTCAATGGCTTCTGCATCTTGCTGCCATCTGTCAGAGACTTTGCAATTATGGGTGGAGCAGAAATTGTGAAGAATGTAGCAGCAGATAATTATCTTTGTAGTGTTTTTAAAATCGTTGTCTATTCCCTTTCCTATCCTCCGATACCGAGCCTTGAGGTGGCCGAAAGCATTTTCCACTACACGTCTAACCTTTGACAAATTGTAATTAAATGCTTTATGTTCCGGAGTAGACTCAACGGAAAACGGATAGGGTTTCATTACCGTTTTGGAAAATCGAAATGCAGAATCTCCTAAGATTAACACAGGTATTTCTGTATCATTTATAATTTTCGAATTCCCATCGAGTAAATCCGACTCATCCAGTTTTATTTTTAGGCTGGACTTTTCAAAAATTTTCAAGTCATGAGCTCGGCCGGGACACCCTACATTTATGTATGTGAATCTGTAACTGTAAAAGTAAAAAACATATAAAATTCCATTGCATTTAGACAAAAATCTACTTCTTACCGGTAGTCGACCAAGGCGAATAGGACGGTGGACCCTTGTAATTCCGGTAATCCACTGCATCCTCACATCTCGGTTGGACCTCGATGTGACAGCCATCTATGTGAAATATTGTTCAGTCAATCATGCACAATTTTATTATTTAAAAATGTATCACTTGCCCATTGCTCCGAAACACTGCGGAAATCCCATGTCCTCAAAGCCCTTCACTGTTTCCGTAATCTTCTCCTGGGTAAGAAATTCTTCTGGCATATATTCATCAGCACGTACAGCAGTCACCTCCCAAAAAAAAATCCATCAAAATACGGCATTCGATGGTTTTGGACACACCGAAAAGATTCGCTATTGTGCGATACTCCGCAGAGGATCCAAGGCAATATAGTGATATCGCTATCTTTTTCTCCAGAGGGATTGCCAGTCGAAAATTGGAGTCTTTCTTTCGGAGATTGGGCAGAATTCCAACCAGAATATTGAAAGCACTTCTTGCCATACGAAAGTTGTCTTTGAAAAACGAATCGGAGTTTTGCACAACATCTTTCTCCCAAAATGATCCATATCGCGGCTATTTAAATTTGTAATACCGTAGAAGTCCTGGAAAATGTACTGCCTTCTACTTACAAGGGTCCAAACGCTGCGAGGACGGTGCAGTTCCACAATAAATTTTAACTTGGCTGCAGACAAGCCCGCCGCTTCCATGCATTTTAAAACATCCTCTTCATTTTACTCCACCGCAGACAAAATAACGAGGTCTGTTTCTGTAAGATTCCTCGTGTTTTTATTCATTATTGATTTGATTAAAAAAATTTGTGTTGCTGTCATCAGCTTTTCTCAAGACACACGTCTGCAATGTAAACGCCTTTTCTGCTTCATTGCGTCTATTCCGATATCGATAGCAGACGCACCCAGTGTAAAAAGGCTATCACTTTTGTTTTATTCTATTACCGTGACAAGTCGTGTGCAACGAAAAGAACTAAGAAAACGAAATATATTAAATTAAAATAAAAATAATAACAGCATTTGTGATTAAACATTGAAGACTGGTCTAACACATAAGAGGAGCTAATTTGGAGGATTGAAACAGCGATAAAGAAGAGATTTGGCTGTCATCTGTCCACAGGAGTCTCTGTCGGTGGCCACGGGAGTCTCAAGACATTGCAATTGTATTGGTGTGAGCTGTGCTGTGTGAGCGGCAGCGTGCAGCGTATTTGTGCATTTATTCAATAGGTTATGGGCCCAGTCCACGCCTCTTAACTGCAGATAAGTATAAAGTTTTTGATTTATATAAAATGGAAAAAGGAAAGCGAAACATTAAACCATTTGATGGAGAAAAATACTCCATTTGGAAGTTTAGAATAAGAGCATTGTTGACTGAAATAGACGCCATTAAGGTTATTGATCAAGAGTGTGATGAAATAACAGAAGAATGGAAGAAAAAAGTAAGAAATGCTAAAAGTGTTATTATAGAGTATCTAAGTGACTTCTTCCTTGGTTTTGCACCAACAGATTGTAGTGCTAAAACGGTTTTTAAGAATTTAGACGCTATTTATGAAAGGAAAAGTCTGGCATCGCAGTTGTCTGTCCGAAAGCAGTTGTTGTCATTGAAGCTGAGGGGCGATACTTTGTTGTTGCAGCATTTTACTAAATTTGACGAATTAATTGCTGAGCTGTTTGCCGCCGGTGCGCAAATGGATGAATTGGACAAAGTATCGCATTTGCTGTTATCACTGCCTTCATCGTATGACGGTTTAATAACGGCTATTGAAACATTATCGGAAGATAATCTGACCCTTGCTTTTGTGAAAAATAGACTGCTTGACCATGAAATAAAATTGAAAAATGTCAGTAAAGATACAACACTAAAAGTATTACATACCGTAGGGAATGAGAATAAAATAAAAAAATTTTCAAATAAAAGCTATGTCTACAAACCAATTAAGAATAAGTTCAAATCAAAGAATAAGTTTAATAATAATAATAAAAATTGTTTTCATTGTGGCAAAGCCGGCCATATAAAAAAAGATTGTTATATTTATAAGAGAGAGAAAAATAATGAAAACAAACATGTACAAGTGGCAACTGCTCAGTCTGAAGAAATTCCAGAAGGTTTCGCATTCATGCTCAAACGTGAAAGAAATAAAGAAGAAATTTCGTTTGTTCTGGACTCTGGAGCATCAGACCATTTGGTCAATAATGAGAATCTGTTTGATAAACTTCAAGTTTTGGAAAAACCAATTAAAATTGCAGTGGCCAAGTGTGGCCAATTTATTTTTGCAACAAAGAAAGGCACAATGGAGTTGTGCAGTGATTCTCTGGCCAAAATCGTTTTGAACGATGTACTGTTTTGTTCTGAAGTTCCTCAAAATCTCTTATCGGTGAAAAAGATGCAGGATGCAGGAGTTACCGTGGTATTTCATCCAGGAGGTGTAGCTGTTAGCAAAAATGGTGAGAATATTATGGAAGATAATTATATCGATAATGTTCCGGTGGTCTGCTTTTCTATGCCAAAAAGAGCATTTATATCTAATGTTCATAATAAAATAAATAATTATAATTTGTGGCATGAAAGGGCATATGGGCATATAGGCATATAGCAAAGGAAAATATTTAGAAATAAAAGCTAATAATATGTTTGAGGATATCGATATGTTAAATAATATTAAACCAAATGAAGATTTATGTGAGGCTTGCATAAATGGGAAGCAAGCGAAACTTAAATTTGAAAAGTTTAAAAACAAAGATCATATTAACAGGCCTTTGTTTGTTGTTCATTCCGATGTATGTGGTCCGATTACTCCTGCAACTATTGAAAGGAAAAATTATTATGTTGTGTTTATTGACCAATATACACATTACTGCGTCACATACTTACTGACTTATAAGTCGGAAGTATTTTATGTCTTTAAGGATTTTATTGCTAAAAGTGAAGCGCACTTTAATTTAAAAATGGTAAATCTATATATTGATAATGGCAGAGAATATCTATCGAATGATATGAAAGAATTTTGCAGTGAAAAGGGCATTAGTTACCACCTTACAGTCCCACATACCCCACAGTTGAATGGTGTGTCCGAAAGGATGATAAGGACTATAACAGAAAAAGCTCGTGCTTTGGTTATAGGGGCAAAAGTACAAAAACACTTTTGGGGAGAAGCTGTTTTGACGGCAACATATTTGACTAACAGAATTCCAATTAATGCATTGAAAGAATGCAAGAAAACACCATATGAAATGTGGCATAGCAAAAAGCCAAGTCTCAAATATTTGAGAGTATTCGGTTCGACAGTGTATGTCCATAAAAAGTTAATAAAACGAAAGTTTGATGAGAAATCATGGAAAGGAATACTAGTCGGATATGAACCGAATGGATATAAAGTATGGGATGGGGAGACTGGGAAGTTTTCAATTGCTAGAGATGTTGTGTTTGATGAAACTAACATGGTAAACTCCAGAGGTGAGTTTGAAAAGAAGAACATTGAATTTCATAATGAGAGTATGGAATATTTTAATGAAGATTTCCTTGATACCAATAAAAATGGTGATCAGTTGGAAATGGATAATGTTCAGGACATTTGTCCAAGTGAAAGCATTGAAAAAGGATCTGATAAGATATCAGATGGTGATCCCAGTGGTGTGGTAACGGAAATAGAAAATGCCGATCCAGTTGTTACTGGTGATAGTGTATCAAATGATACAAACGAAGAAAGCAAAATTGTAAGGAAAAGTGATCGATTAAAAGATAAGCCAAAATTATCATATAGCGATATTCAGAATTGTTTGATGAATGCTCAGAGTTCCATGGAAAGTACACCGATTTCTTTTGAGGAAATCAGTTTAAGAAATGATAAGAAGCAATAAAAGATGAGCTAGAATCACATTTAATTAATAATACTTGGTCTCTTGTTAAAATACCTGATAACAAGATTATCAGATTGTAAATGGATTTTTACAATAAAACATAATGAATTCGGAAAACCGATTAAATATAAAGCTAGACTCGTGGCTCGGGGTTTTAGTTGACATTTGCTCCTGTTGCCAGAGTAACTAGTTTTAGGTTTATAATGTCATTTGCAATCCAGTACAACTTGAAGGTACATCATATGGATGTAAAGACTGCCTTTTTAAATGGAGTTTTAAAGGAGGAAATATATATGAGAGCTCCTCAAGGTTTTCTCGTGGGCAGTAATCAAGTTTATAAATTAAATAAGGCTATTTATGGTCTCAAACAAGCGGCAAGATGCTGGTTTGACGTATTTGAGAAATCATTAAGGGGTATCGGATTTGTATGCTC